TGTTTGCAGTGCCACATACTGCACAGCTGAGCTTGTCTGGACACACCCATTGAGTGCTTTTTTTGGCCTAATTGCCTAAATGTATCTTTTAAGTAGCCTGTCAGATGTTTGCAGACCAGAATTAATTTAGTGAGAGATAACTGTGGGTTGGACTGTTTCTATCTTATATTGGGATTGAACCAAGCCCCAGCCCTTACAGATTTTTACTACAGCATCAACAATTCAACATCCTGCGTGAAACACAGTGCAGAAGATATTTACAGAATAGACTCTCTTTTTGATTTTGAAATCCATACAAATCTCTGTTCATAACTAAATGTAAAATATACGCAACAGCTTTAAGCCACAGTTTATGACTGATTCTCAAATAGGGTGCTGCAGCATCCTGGGGTGCTGTAAGATACTTATAAGTGTGTTATGCACTGTCAAGTGTATACATATGTGCACAATTCACAAAGATAAACCTCAAGGTTTCAAATAGGGATCCTTACATCAGACACCTTCTGACCTGCTATGGTCTTTTGAGTTCTTTGCAACAAAATTGTTCACATTTTCTTTTCTATAGTCAAAAAATGAGTGAAACCTAGAGCTGGCATTTTCAAAGAGGTGCCTTGAATCTACTAATGTTAGGAACCATTGGCTTATGTTGTGAGGCTGCACACCACCACCAGCTCCAGAGCCATTGCACATGAGGCATATACAATGACTCCAGGAGCACAAACCCAGGGATCCATATTATACCTTTCACCAAATGCAGCATACAGTTGTTCCCATGCTGTCTCAGCATTTTTGGTCTGGGGATTGAAAGATGCAGCTTGGAAGTCTTAAGAGTTATTTATGGCATTTAACACCCATTTGTTAGGATACTCTACTGCAAAAGAATTTCTAGGCTAGGGACAGAAATTATACATAAACTGGTATAAGTGATCAGAAACCAGTTCATATATGTAACGCAACAGAAATTCAGTGCATGTATACCACTTTCAAAATGGCTGAAACCAGTTTGAGATAACCCTGGATGAATGTAATATCAGACTTATCTGATTTAGGTTAAATCAGCTTATTGAGCTTCTGCCTCATATCCCCTCCAGATTAAAGTTAACTCACAGTCCCCCAGCATCCCAGCATGCTTTGCACCTCCCCCACTACTGCCCTTACAAGGTGGGCAGGCTAGCCTTGGTCCAAGACGTCTGCTCCAGCCAAGCAGGGAGGTATGCTCTAGCACTCCCTGGCTTCTAATCTAGGCCACAACAGGCATGTGGCTGTATTTCCAGAATCAAAAGTGAATGTCTGTTCATTTGCTTATAGGTTTAATCTACATAGCTTAGACTAACCTATGAAGATTGAATTGATTCAGGCTTTTTGACTGTCTGTACTTAGCTCTAAAGGCAGGCTCTATCCCAGCATCCCTGGATTGCACATCCACTGCATTTTAGGGGGTTAGAATGGTCTACTTTTATGAGCAGGAGAGATGTTCACACAAGAGTTTAACACAGTAGCAGTTATCTCAGTTTCTGGAACACAAGCCAAATTTATATCTTCCTCTTCCCTTGCCCACCAAGTCAAAGCCAAGCACAAATTTAAACAATGCCAAGATCAGTCTTTTTGCCTCACTTTTCACTTGGGTCCCACTTAAGTAAATGTCCTTTGACTCCAGCAGTTTTACCCAAATATGCATTGAGTGACATCCTCACTTTGAGCCCAGTGCTAATAATCAACAATAACCATAAACTGTATATATTGAATGTTAGCACAAACTCACTGCAATTTCCCATTTGACTCAGAGCTATTCATCCATTAACTGGCAGGGGAGTATTTAATTAACTGCACTATAGCAAAGCAATAGTTCAGTTTGCCAGCTGAGTCATAGAGTTAAAACTCAGGTATGGTATTAGTAGCCCAGCTAAAAGACATACAAAGAAATAATGTGCTGATATGGCTGGTACAGTTCACAGATAAAAAGAATTATGAAACAAAATAGTATATAGATCTCTTTCTCACCTGTAGGAACAAAATATGAGTCAGCATTAGAGGTTTAAGCATAAATCACAGGGATAGAGCTAGCAAGAGGTTCTCCTAAATGATACAACTTATATTAATTGTATCAGAAAAAGAACCTATCGGTAAAGGAACCCACTCCCATATGTGTCCTGGATACAATTTAACTTCAATGACTATGCCACTTGCTTCAAGAAGGGACATTTCTTAAAATGAGTTTATTGAACTCAAACTCAAAAACCTTATGTGCTCATCCAGTTATTTGGGATTTCTCCTAAGTGCATAAATAAGCATTTGTATATTATATACTTAAGCATTTGTTTCATGCATGCTTGTATGGACTTAACTTCTTTGACAAAAATATGTCAAGAATGTTTAGTATCCAGTCTTCATCATTGTAAACTCCAGCTCTGACTGTCATTAATAGTAATGTGAGGTATTCACATAGGGCTCTCTGTGTATGACATTAAAATCAAATATGGTTTCAGTATGTGAATTTAACCTGAATGCATGAGCTTTTATTAGTGTGTATGATAACCCACATTTTGTTTAATAGTTACTCCAAGTAAAATGATTAAATACATTACCAAGACTGGTTCTGAGTGAATATATTTTGTAAGTGGCCCATGTAATTCTTTGTGTTGGAAAAAGTATTTCCTAATAACCTAAGCGAAAAACATTCTTATGAAATGTATACTTTTGCCAGCCCTAATATATGGTTCTCCTTGCAACAATTATCTTGGGCATTACCTTGTACTAGCACTTTCCACTTGTTTTACAATACTACTGTGCTGCCTCAAAAGTGTATAAATTAAATTCTGGTTTGAAATCAAAGGAGCTAAGACTCTGAAATAAACCAGGAGTCGAGTATGTTCAGATATACAGTACAACCCACACTCCATTAACAGACTAGAATTTACTATCAGATAGGCAGTCCATAAGCTAGTCATAGTATTTATGTGGTCTTTCTGTTAAATTCAGATTCCACCAAATTAAAAGCTCCTTTAAGAAAAGAGAGAGATGTTTAGTGAGCCTCTGCCCTGCCTTCTGCCTATAAAAAATGAATTTTCATAGTTGCAAAGAAAACTTTCCAAATAGAGGCTGAGGCAGTGTTGGTTCCCAATGCTGAACAACAGCTCTGAGATATTTGTACTCACTAATCTCATTTTTGTGTTAACACTATAGCCTAATGCTGCGTCTATAAATGTCAGCATTGGCTATCTCACTGCTGCTCACTGCTGCTCTTTTAACAAAATGAAGGGAAACAAGCTTGAAGTAGGAATAGGAGGGAGGAAAATAAAGAGAGAAGCAAAGGCAGGAAAGAATCATAGAATCATAGAAAGTTAGGGTTGGAAGGGACCTGAGGAGGACATCTAGTCCAAACCCCTGCTCAAACCAGGACCATCCCCAACTAGATCATCCCAGCCAAGGCTTTGTCTAGCTAGGTCTTAAAAGCCTCCAAGGATGGAGATTTCACAACTTCTCTGGGTAACCTGTTCATGTTTTACTACCCTCCTGGTGAGAAAATTCTTCCTAATATCTAACCTAAACTTCTCTCACTGCAACTTGAGACTGTTGCTCCTTGTTCTGCCATCACTGGGAACAGTCCAGCTCCATCCTCTTTGGAACCACCCTGCAGGTAGTTGAAGACTGCTATCAAATCCCCCCTCAGCCTTCTCTTCTCCAATCTAAAGAAGCCCAGTTCCCTCAGCCTGTCCTCATAAGTCATGTGCCCCAGCCGCCTTCACCATTTTTGTTGCCCTCTCTGGACTTTCTTCAATTTGTCCACATCCTTTCTGTAGTGGGGGGCCCAAAACTGGACACAGTACTCCAGATGTGGCCTCACCAGTGCTGAATAGAGGGGAATAATCACTTCCCTTGCCCTGCTGGCAACACACCTACCAATGCAGCCCAGTATGCCATTAGCCTTGTGGCAACAAGGGCACACTGTTGGCTAATGTTCAGCTTATTGACCACTGTAAGCCCCCAGGTCCTTTTCTGCAGAGCTGCTGCCCAGCCAGTCAGCCCCAAGCCTGTATGGGATTGTATAGGATTGTTCTGTCCTAATTTCCACCCTAAAAGAAAGAGAGGAGCAAACAGAAGGAGTATGGAAAAAGGAAGAAAGCAAAGGCCAGTAATAGAAGCAGTTCAGAAAGAGATTTTCTTAGGGAGCAAAGATGAACACAAAGGTCAGGCTCTTAACAAAGAATAAAAGTGATAAAAATAACTAGGATTTGGTTCCACAGCAGGACCACTTTCTGCCTTTGATCTTCGTGTAAGTTTTCCAAAGCTCTGTGAGAAGTTCTGCAGTAGGTGGAGGCTAGTCTGTATCCTGAACCTTAATTAAAAAGATGAAGCTGTTCTTTAAACACATTTGAAAGAGGAACCAAAAGTAAGAGGTTGCCCAGTGCACTGCATAGATGCTCCATTTACATCCCCACCAAAGGAGTGTGTTGTAGTTAATGTTATTACACCAAGTGTACCTCAGAATGAATAGCTGTTTGCTACTAACTGTTAAGTATAGCAGTATCAGGACCTTTTTTCTAACATAGCAGTTAGCAGCAGCACTAATATAGTAATAGCTATGAGACGCGTTGGATTTCCCATTACTTTTTGAGTAATCTTTTGCCTCTCAGGCGGCATTAGCTGTTCCACTACTGCTCATTGCAGAGCCAGCTGAAGGCTTGTCCCTTCCAGCGAGGTTTTAAAGTTTTACTTTGACGTTAGTCACAGAAGGGATTCCTTCTTGCCATGAACAATTTAATCAGTTCACCCTTCCGTTTTGCAACATACTGTCTGTTCATTGGCACTCTGAAATCAGATGTGGTTTCTAGTTAATCAAATGCTAGAAATGATCTTCCTTTTCATTTTGCTCACATCTATTTGTAGTAACCCAGGTTGAAATTGATGTTGGAAATGATGTACTGACATTGACAAAACCAAGAACTAGTGTTTAATACTGCTACATACCCTATTTACAAAATTTTTGTTTCATTTCACAGACCTTCAAAAGGGAGTTGAAAGCTAAAGAACCTGTTATCATGAGTGTGCTTGAGACTGTGCGAATATTCCTAGCAGAACAGCCTTTGGAGGGGTTGGAGAAGCTCTATCAGGAGCCTAGAGGTAATTGAATGTAGAGCTGCAATAACATACTGATAGAAGGATCAGCAATAGCAGAGAGATCCATAAATCCTTATTGCCACTATCTTTATATACTCCAAGCTGGATTTTAACATAACAAAGTATATGTGAAACAAATATTTAGTGAGCCTTCTGATGACTATGTAAGTAAATGTGTATATTTGTAAATAGAAGCTGAAAAGGGCTTGAGACCTTGTGTCTTTATGCATAACTTGTGGACTAACACGTGATTCAAAATATGAGAGCGCTTAACCTCTGGGAGATATGAAATTCTATCCTCCTCATTTTGAAAAACTAACCAAACAAGACTACAGTTTGACCTGGCCATTTCCCCAAATAGATTTGGCTAAAAATTTATCCTAAATGGTCTGGAATTAAACTAATTGTTCTAACAGAAAACTATATTGTGCATCAGCACAAAGAAATGCAGTTACCATATTTATTCGACACTAGGTCAACCCTGAATTTAAGATGATCCCTCCAATAATTAGATTCTGTATATGGAACATTTATAAATTTGTTATTATTTCCCAGGTATAGGATCTAATTATCAGAGGCTTGTCTTGCCTTCTTCCCCCTCTCACTGCTACAAAAGAGAAAATAGTGGCTGCGGGGGTCAGATGGCCCCCTTGCCCTCCCACTCACTTCTTTCCACTGCAGCTTTCCTGCCCCTCCTGCCACTGATACCACCCTCCCCCAGCTCTCCACAGCATCTGTCCCTCCCCACTACCCAGTGTTGGTGCTGCTGGTTGGCCAGGCAGGTCATGTAACAGTGTTAGCTCTGTGAATTGGCCAGGCAGGCAATGAGGCAGTTGTAGTGCTGCTGACTGGCCAGGAAAAGAACAAAGTTTCCATGTGCTCCTTGCCTGAGAGGGAACCCAGCCTGAGCTGGAGCTCAGCTGCATCTGACAAGGGGGGAAAGAAGCAGGGGGTGCAAAGGGGAAGTGGAGTGGGAAGCAGGAGACTGTTGTGGGTCTGACTCTGGCCCCAACTCAGGCTTAGGGCCAGAGCTAGAGCCACAACAGGCACCCCCCACCCAGTCCACCCTTTATGTGAATCTAAGATGAGGGACTTTTTTCTCTATGCTTATTTAGAGCAAAAATACTTGTCTTAGATTTGAGTAAATATGGCTTTTTTGTGTGTCCCTGATTTCCACAAAGCTTTTAAATGGGTGCTTAACTTTCAAGGACATATATGCACATGCTTCAAGTTAAGCATATGCAGAAGTACCCTGGTAATTACATGTTTTCTTGCTGTGCTTAGAAGTTGTTTTGACTTGCCCAGGTAGCTGTTATTTTTCTAATAAGATAGAATAAGCCCTAACAGTCTTTGAACTTCACATTTAGAGCTGTCTCCTGAAGAAAGGGCTCAAAATGTCACCAGACTTCTCCGAAAGCAGGCAGATGAGGTCAAAACTGAATGGGATAAGTTGAACCTGCATTCTGCAGACTGGCAAAAGAAGATAGATGAGACCCTTGAAAGACTGCAGGAGCTTCAGGAGGTGATAGATGAACTGGACTTAAAGCTACGCCAGGCTGAAGTATTCAAGGGATCTTGGCAGCCAGTAGGAGATTTGCTAATTGACTCTCTACAAGATCACCTAGAAAAAGTCAAGGTATCAGTATGCCTCTATACATCAACATTTTTGTGACCATAAAACATAATTAACCTTGTTTCACTGCATGATTGTCCCCAGAAGTCGGGAGACAAGTTTTAAAACGAGACTATTTTAGGTGGCTTTTAAAGAATTATGAAATTTAAAAAATCATGTAATTCTCAGATAGAAAGAACTTTAAAATGGAATTAAGGTTGAGCGCACACAACAGTAATTTAAATGAGAAATCTTTACAAGGAAGTTTAATTATGCCGAGCATAAGTATTATTAACCCAGGAAATTCAGTTAAAATTACTCCTAAAGGAAATTCAACCATGGTAAAATATGGAAATATATAATTAAGGCACAAACTTAATTCTGCCCTTCATTGTAGTTATATAACCATTCAAATATGATTAACTATATGTTCCTAGCTACAGATTAGATTAAACTGATTTTTGAAAACACATTAGATTTTTCTTCCCTCTTGTGACTAACCCTTTGGGGTGAGCCCAGAATTACCCCCACTTCTCTGCTGTGTATGTTTGGGTCTTAACCCAGATCTTGCTCCTGGGAGACTCCTCTCCTGCTAGCAAATCTCAGTCTGTAGTGCCATAACTGGTATTTACAGAACAGGCCAGGCTAGGACTAGGGACAGAAGCTACACATAAACCAGTTAAAGTGATCAGAAACTGGTTTAAACTTGTAACAGAATAGAAGTTCAGTGCACATAAACCAATTTCAAAATGGTTGAAACTGGTTTAAGACAAGCCTGGTTGACTGTAGTATCAGACTTAACTGTTTCAGGTCAAACTGGTTTATGAAGCTTCTGTCCCAGACCCCTTCCTGGTTCAAGTTAAATCAGAGTCCCCCAGCATTTTGCAGCTCTGGGCTGGGCTGGGCTGTCTCCTCCAGAGAGCAGATCTGACCCCACCCCTCTGCTCCCTAGCTGGAGCAGTGAAGGCTGGCTCACTGGTCTCACTGGCTGGCTCATGGTTCTTACCCCACTTTCTCTTCCCCCAGCAAACCTCTGCTGGTGTCTAGGAGCAGGGTTAAAACTTCCCTTCTGCCAAGTGTGGAGCTGCCCTTCCCTTCTTATTTACTGCTGGCTGTGACTGTGTACTACAAATCCCAGAGGCATCTGGGAGCAGTAAGAGGAAGTGATGAGCAACCCTGCAGAGCCCTGCTGCTGTGATTCTAGACTGCAAATCCCAGAAACCTCTGGGGCAGCAGGAAGAGAAAGTGAACACACAACCCATGCTGGCTATGTGCCAAAGAGCCGTGCTCTTGTCCCCCAACAGCTTCTGGCCTGAGCCACTGCAGGCATGTGGCTGCATTTCTGAATCAAAAGTGAATATCTGTTCATTTGCTTATTGGTTCAATCTTTGCAGCTTAGACTAACCTGCAAAGACTGAATCAATTCAGCCTTAGGCTTTTTGACTGCCTGTACTTAGCCTAAGGGTTCCTTCAGTTTGCAAAACAAAAAAGGTCTGCCATCCCCTTAAGAACAGAAACCCTGGTGCTACCAGCCACTCTAAAATCACTCTTACCACCAGACAGCCTGTAAGGTAAACAACCAAAACAGGTTTATTGCATAAAGACAAAAAAATGAAAGGAAAAAAAGTTATTTGGTTTGGAGATAGGAACATCTACTGCTACTTTCTAAATGGAAGAGCAACTTCCTGGTGCTCTCCCTGTTTCCAGCTTCCTTGACTAAGTTCTCCCTTTCTACTAGACTTGGGCTTCTCTTTCATTGATTTATCATTATTAGGGACCTACTTAATTAGTGGTTTCATGGATTTCATGGAAACTGCAAAAATGACAGACTCTGCAAAATCAACAACAACAAAAACCTTAATAAAATGCTGACTCCCCAGTGACAGCCAACACTCCTTACTGCTGGAAAGGGAAGGCACTGGCTGGTGGGGCAGCATGAAGAGCAGCAGCCAAGATAGTGGCTGCACCCTCCTACCCTTTGCCGGGGTCTCTGTCAACGAGTGCTAAGGGGCAGGGCTACATAAAGGGCAGCCAGCAATCAAGATGGCAATTTTCCCCTCATCGCTTCTCCTTCTTGGCCTCTGCCAATCGGTGCTGAGGGGTGGGGCCACCACAAAATTGGTTCTGAACAGAGAGTAAGCTGTGAAAAACCCTTTATCTTGCCACGATTTAGGTAGGTCCTTACTCATCATCTCCTCGTTTCTATTCTCCATTATCTTTCCTGGATACATATGTATTTATGTAGATTATTACCTTCTAGCATTCGGCATCTTTCTGACAAGTAGATTAATGGTGTTCTATTTGATATGCATCAGACCATTTTTTGATATGAATGTTGTTCCAAGTAAACATTCCTAGGGTTTTATTTCCTCCCCATCTTATAGGTACACTAATACTATTCTCTTTGACATGTAATCAGCCATTTTCTATTAAAAAGTGCTTTATCACTGGAGCTGACTATAAGCAAAGAAAATTCCTTGATCTGGTCAGATTACTAAAACAGAAAAATGCATCTTATACTGGATATCATGTTACTTTCCCATATATGTTCCTTTATATCATTTTGTAGTTTATCATGAGCTCTTGACAGAAACTAAATATGATAGCAGTCAGGCCAACCTCAATAAATATTTGCGTGTGTGGAGACAGCAATCTCCCATAATGAACAACTATAGATTTGGGGTGTCCTATGGAACTTTCCCTCCCCTTTTTGTCAAAGCAGACAGAGTTTTTTCTTTTTGCTGTCCTTAATAAACTGGTATGCATTAGGTAGTTTTAAAATAATTTTGTAATCACTTTCTAAAGCTGACTGTTTATCCATTCCCAGGGGCTAGTATGTTAAACACATACTCGGAAAGATGTTTGTGAAGAATTGTCCTATTTCAAAATGACTGCCACTGCTAGTTGTTTTGAATAGGACTGAGACCACAAGATACCCTCAATTTTAAAAAGCCACTTATGACTGCCATCTCCATCCAGGCCTTCTCAGAAAGGATGAAGATACTATGTGCTGTCACCAAGAGGAGTAGAAAACCCTTAGAAACAGACTGATTGTTGAATGGCATTAGCCAGCTTTGTTGTCTTGTGGCTTCAGCCCAATTTAAACCAAAAGTAGATGGCTGCCATTTTGAGAAGGGCAGGATAAGTAAGGCCAGCATCTGGCTTCAGTTCCACTGAGAAAAATAGACACTCATTTTGAAAGGGAGATGTTCTTTGTGGAATTCTACTTAGTATAATATTTATTGTCATGTCCTGCTAGAGAAGAAAATGTATTATGAGGAATAACATTTATTACTTTTAAAAAAAATTGAATATATTGCATGCCAAAGATTTGCATGACTTTCAACAGCATAGGAAATGTAAAGAGGCTATAGTATTCAAATACTAAAATCATTCAGTACAAACAAAAACCTTGATATCTAGTGTTCAGATTTCTTAAAGAACCTATTTTAATTCATTATAATTCATAAATGAACAAATAGCTTTGAACATTGCTTGCATATTTATTCTGCACACTCAGAAAATGTGCTGTTACTTGGGAGGACATATTCTGTATCCTTTATACACAAACACAATCCAGTCATCTGCAAAACACAATCTAGTCTTAACAGTAGAGTCGTTATTGGTGCCGCCATAAGTATAGCATACTGATCCACGAACACCAATTCATGTCAAATAATCCGATTGTCATAATTACTAAATAACATTATGGTAACATCCACAATAACATGAAAATCTTATCATTTATAAAAATCATACTATAGTCATACAGTGCTATATAATCTTGTCCCACCTGGTCTTTGCTGTCAGAGAAACTGACCTTCCCCAAAATAGCTAGTAGCTTTCAAAGGATGTCAGAGACCTAGGTTTAGACTTAAACCGCTCAAGCCACCATTCTGCATCATTCACAGAAGGCAGCCCGTCTCTCACATCTCCCTATGTGCACTAGGATGATGACTCTAGAGGGGGTGCAGTGCTGCAGCCACAGTGGGCAAGAGAGTAGTCCCCCCCTCCCTGCCTGGTCCCCCTGGGAGCAGACAAAGGGAAGGGGAACCTCTCCACTAATCCCAACTGGTGCTGTCCCTGTTCCCAGCTAAGCCCTGCCCCACACAGCCTAACTTGGGTGGGCAGCAACATATCTGGTGCTTCCCCTGCCCCTGGGGCAGCAGGGAAAGCAACAGTGGCAGTTTGGAGACACAGGGAAGAGGAGAAGAGGAAGGAGTTTCATCTGTCTCAGGAATTTAAGAAAGTATCTGGTGGCTCCAAAGGGTAGACTGCCTGCACAGGTGGGAGCAGAGGAGGCTGGGAGTAGTGTGGGTTGCTGCTCGTACTGCACCCCCTTCGGGAAATCTTGCATCTGCCCCTGTTGGATCTCTCTCCCTTATTTTGGTTTCATTCCTCTCCATTTTGGACTTGAAAAGCCTCCCTGACAAAGTTTTAGTCAAAAGTGGCTCATTTTTGTAAAACAATAATTGTTTTAAAAAAAAAATATATTTTTTTTGTCCAAAAATGTATGACCAACTCTGATAGGCATAAAGCCTGATATATCAGTCTGAACTAACTTCCTTTTTTGTTTGTTTCAAAGGATAATCAGATAAATTGTAAATGAAAAAAACAGTGTGCACGCGCGCTATGGAAATATAATTTAGGCATAAATAGTGAAAATAGATGCATGTGTTTACTGGGCGATGTAGGCTAGGCTGTGGTGTAAATAACTCCTAAGAGATCTGTATTTATGTCTGCCGTTGGAAAGCCATTTGAAAGCCATACTTACAAATTAGTGAATGAATGGCTAATTTTTAACTTATGTATTTTTAGATATTCATTTCTTTTTAAAAAAATGTAGTGTTCTAAGAAGAAATAAAAGAAAAGTAGTTTTCCTTAGCTGTCAAATACAAGTTGGCCTTAATTTAAATTCGTGTTTCAATGTAAAATGGACACAAAGTACACAAATCAAAGCCTGAGCCGAGAAGCCTTCACTCCTCATCCTGAGAACATGCAAATCTTTCACTTTAAACTGAGTA